ATAGCTTAAAAAGAGAAATTAACTACTTAAGAATAAATATAAAATTTATATTTATATAAAATAAATTAAGAAAGAGAGTTATATATCTATTTAATATATTATTTAAATTTTTAAATATATTTATATAGACTTCTGGAACTTAAAGTATAAAAAAATAAATTAAAAATATTATTTTTCTCTAATTAATAATTATAGCTGCTTTTCTTAGATATATATTATAAAATCTTAAAAATCTAAAAATATTTAAAAATAATTAGATATTTAGCTCTAATATATAAAATATTAAGTAAAAAGAATATTTATAATAATCTATATTAATAATATAAAGAAGTTTATTATTTTAATTCTTTAAGATTAATCTAAAAATATTAAGTTTAAATTTATTAAAACAGAGATATTAGTCTACAATAATATAATTAAATAATTTAATTAAATTATTTTAAAAATTATATATATATTACTAATTAAATCAAAGATTAGTTAAGTATATTAAAAATAGATTATAAATACAGCTAACTATCTGAAAAACTATATAATTATTATAAAGAATTTAAAATAAATTAATAAAAAATTAAAGATTTTATTTAAACTTTAATTTAACTATTAATTTAATATTAAATATTTATAAATTTAAGAATACAGAGTACTATATTATTATAAGAATATGGATAAATTTAAAAGTTATATATCTAAAGAAATATTTGTTAAATATAAAAAAAATAATAAATAATATATTATTATATTAAAGAGCAGTAATATAATAAGATTTATTATAAATTCTAAATTTTATAAAAAGACATTAAAATACTATTCAGATATTAATCAGATATTTTATAATTTATTTAAAGAATAATAATTATTTTATATTTTATTAAATAATTAGCTGCTGCAGCTAATATGAATAATTTTATTATTATTAATATAATTAATAAAAACAGTTCTATTATTTTAAATAATAATATTAAAAGTAAGAGAGAGATTATAACTTCTGGGAATAAATTCTCTAAGAAGAATTAAAGATTAAATGATTTTAATCTAAATATAATAAATATTTATAACAATTGTTTATAAGACTCTTAGAGAGTTAATAATCTAAAAAAATAAATAAAAAAATGAAAAAAGATATTAAATATTTTACTTTAAAAGATATAGATAATTATTTAATATAATATATATTAAGATCATTTCTATTCTTACTTCTGAATTTAAAAAAAAAGATTATAAATATAAAGTAATTAAAAAACATTTTATAAAATTAAATATTTAAATATCTAGATTCCATAATAAAATAGTTAATAATTAGATTTATAAATCTAAATCACTTAAAATTATATAAAAAACTTATTATATTAATTAATGTTAAAATTTAAAAAATTATATAAAAAAAAAGCAGAAGAAATTATCTTTCTTATATATTAAATTTTTAATATTAAGATTAATATTAATAGAGAGATGAATTAATTTAAAATAAGATTAATAATTAGAGAAAATAAGTAATTAAAGAGTAATTTTAATAAAATATTTATTTTAATATTTTATCTAAATAATCTCAGAATTATAAGAATAATATTAATAAGATTAAGATATAAAGTCTATTTTTTAAATATATTAAAATCTTTATTAATTTAAAGCTAGATAAGTCTAATTATATAAAAATATCTTAAGAATTTTAAGAACTTAATTATAGAGTAATTAAAAATATAGTACTAAAATTAAGAAAATCTTTAAATAAATTTAAATGATTAATTAATCTATAAAATTATAAAATAATTAAATTTTTTAAAAATATTAGATTTAAATTAATTACTGCTAACTCTAGTATTTTTATTAATATATAAAAAATAATTATTATTTTATGTATTAATAATATTTTTATTTTTAATTATAAAAAAATAAAGATCTATAATGTTAAGAAAAAATTAAAAAAAGTTTATTTAATAATTAATTCTAACTTAATTCAAAAGCTTCTAGATATCAGATTTATCTAAAAGAAAATTAATTAATTAAGATAAATTAAAAAATCTATATTAAATAAATTCTTAAAAAATTTAAAATAATAGATTATAAATCTATTAATATATTAATAAAATAAATATTTAATTTAATGTTAATAATTTATAATTAAATAAAAAGAATTATAAAATATTTAAAATAATAATTAAAGAATTAATATTTTTAATATACAGAATATAATTAGATATTATATTTTAATTAATTAATTATTCTAATATTTAATTCTTTAAGCTAGATTTATTTATCTATTATAAAATATATTTTAAGATATCTTAAAATCATAAAGAGCTATAAAATTAAATTTCTTATTAAAAAAATTAAGAAAGAATATTTTATTATATATATAAATTTAATATATATTAATATAAGATTAAAAAAATTAATTATTATTTATTAAATTAATAAAAAATAAGCTATTATTACTCAGAGCTTTATTAAAATAAAATATATTATTATTACTAAGATAATTAAGTAAGTAATCTGATATAAATATTCTTTATATATAATTAAAGAAAATATTATATATTAAAATATTTTTATTATATTATATAAAATTAATTAGGAAGTTATTAGAATTATAAAAAATTTGATAAATATTAATAAATAAAATATTTTTTTATTTAATATTATATTATTTATAATTATATTATAAATAAAAAAATTTAGAATATTTATTTATCTCTAGAAAATATAATAATAGATACTAGATAGATTAATTAAAATAATTATATAAATTAATTAAATATATTTTATTAAAAATTTAAAATTTAATTAAAAAAATAAAAAAATCAGCTTAAATATATTAATATATTTAAATTTTTAAATACTTAATATAACTTTAATTTATACTTATTTTAAAATTTTTAATTGAGAAAATTAATTATATTTTAAATAAAAAAATTTAATATAATTAAATTTATAAATAAAAGATTATTCTATTTTTAGCTTATTAAAAATAAAATATAATTATTTTATCTCTGATTAAGTAAACATATATTTTAATAAATTTTTAAAAAAAATACTATTAATAATTACTAGATAAAAGTTATTAAATACTTAGAATATTAATATTATGATATTAAAAAATACTTATTTTATTTATTACTAGTATTCTGTATCTGTGTCTTAGATTATATATAAGTAAAATGTTCAGAAGCCCCTACACCCCTGAGAATCCACTTCAGTGATATAATACAGTTGGTACAGATATCTCCGAAGCTATATTTGCAAATGATTGCCTCGTATTCTGATGTTAGGTAGAGGAGAGGGTACAGAAAGAGAGGGGGAAAGAGGTGAACTAGCTTCATACAGTAGCTTAGAGAAAGTTTGTATAATCACACTAAAATCAGACTGTGTATATATTTTTTAATTAATATAACTATTTATTTCTTTTTCTTTAATTATTAATATTATTATAATCAGATATTCTTTATATTTTTTAAATTTAAATTTAAAATAAAATTATAAGCTAAAGTTATTTAATCAAGTTTATATTCTAGATTTTTAGTATAGTAGCTATAAATTAATTAAGATTATAAAATAATTAAAATATCTTATATAGATTATTTATTTAATAATAAAATATATATTTTTAAAATTTAATAATATCTTTTGATTATATTCTGACTATTTAAAAAAAATTAATAAAAATATATAATATATTATTTAATTTATTAAAAAAGATCTTTTTTAAATTTATTAAATATTTATAAAAAATCTTAATTTAATAATTAATTATATATTACTAATTTAGATTATTAAAAAGCTAAGATATAATAATAACAAACTTAAAAATAATTTAAATTATTATCTAAATATATTAAGAAATAGCTTATATAAATTATAAAATATAAAAATTATATTTTAAAGAATTAATATAACGCTATAAAATTAAATAAATATTTAATTAAACTTAAAATCAGCTATTATAATTAATAATATTTTAGATTAAATATATATAATAAAAAATAAAAAAAGTCTATATTTAATCTTATATAAAGAATAAGAATACTTAGATTATAATTTAAATAATAATATAAAATTTAAATTAATTAGATTTAATTTATTTAAATTATAATTTTAAAGATAAAAAATTTAAATATATTATAAATTTTAATATTAAAATACTTAATTAATTTCTATCTAAAATTAATATAAAGATTAAAAAAATAAGCTTTTATTTATATAAGATAATATCTTAATATATTTTATATATAAAATTAAAAAATAATTTTAAGATTATATTTTAAAAATTATAAATTAATTATTTTATTTATTTAATCTTAATCTGACTAAATATATATAATTTTTTTAAAAGAAGAAGTATATAATATTAATTTTTTAATTAAAAATATTTCTGATAAGAATATTATAAAAAAAATATTCTTTAAAAGATTTTATATATATTATAAAATTAAATTAATATTTATATATAAAAAAATACTGAATAATATATTAAAAAAATAAAAATAATAATTAAAATAAATAGCTAATATATAAAATATTAAAGTTTTATAATTATTAAATTAAATAATTTTTAATAAGATAAATTATTAAATTATTATATATATTAATTTTAAAATTATATTTTAAATCTATATAAATATATATATATATTAGTATAATAAGTTGAACACCCGAATAGGCCCGGCAACCGGGATTATACAAACTTTCTGTAAAGAACTATACATCTGGTCATAAACAACAGGCAACCACGCGTTACGGCAGTTCTTCCCGCTTACCGCCCCGGCAGTACTAGTAGTACTAGCGATAGTAGTACTTTACACACCGGCCCGCCTTATGATCCAGCCAGAGTTGTGGACACCTATCAAGTAAATGGCCGGATAGCAATTGTTAACTGCTCCGGACTACTTATATATATCTTGACCATCCACATAGTACATGGCCAATTATTATCAAGGGTTGCAGATCCGTCATCTTCCTACACCCTGTGCCGACAGTTATATTATCCAAACTGCCATGCCAAAATGAAGCTTCTCAGTCTCTTTGTGTCATTTATCTGCATAATCCCAATTGCTTTCTGCAGTGTCCCCGATACGGAAAAATTTGAACGATACCATTCACTCTCTCGCGTCGCTCCAATCGAACTTGATGACTCATCATACGAAGATATAACAGCAAAACCTCGCGAATATCACATCGCAGTTCTTTTGACTGCCGCGGAGGCTCGCTATGGGTGTATTCTCTGTCGCGAATTTCAGCCAGAATGGGAGCTCATAGCGCGGAGTTGGAACAAAGGCTCAAAGCCTAATGGACTAAGGATGCTTTTCGCTACACTTGATTTCAGCAATGGGAAAGGGACCTTCCAGAAGGTATGTAGCTTGTATACGCATGAATGGATTGATATTACAAACTAATTTGTTATGCGTTTCAAAAGCTAATGCTTCAAACTGCACCTGTCCTCCTTGTCTTCCCTCCGACTATTGGTCCCTTTGCAAAGGTTGACGACGCTCCTTTGCGATTTGACTTCAGCGGGTAACTAACTGAAAGAGTCACCAATTGTTCAATTGATACTGACTGACCTACCTGCAGTCCCATCTCCGCCGACCAGCTATATACATGGATTAACCGTCATCTCCCAGAGGGGCCGAAACCGCCTCTTGTTCGCCCGATTAACTACATGCGGATTGTCTCGGTTGTTACGATATTGATGGCTGCAATAACCCTTTTCACTATTTTATCGCCTTATATTCTACCAATTGTACGAAACCGGAACTTGTGGGCTGCTTTCAGCCTGATAGCCATACTTTTATTTACAAGCGGTCATATGTTCAACCATATCCGCAAAGTCCCATATGTTGCAGGGGATGGTAAGGGAGGTATCAGCTATTTTGCAGGGGGGTTTTCAAACCAGTTTGGTATGGAAACACAGATTATCGCTGCTATCTGTAAGTTTATCTATTGTCCTGTTATGTCACCAATATTTTTCCTGGTGCTGATATAAGGTCCTTTTCTTGCAGATGCTGTCCTTTCCTTTGCGACTATTGCATTGGCAATGAAGGTTCCCCGTATTGCTGACACGAAGGCGCAACAAGTAGCTGTGGTCATCTGGGGTTCTGTGCTTCTTGGCATGTACAGCTTCCTTCTAAATGTTTTCAAGGTAAAGAACGGCGGGTATCCCTTCTTTCTTCCACCGTTCTAGATATGGCCATATGTTGCCATACTCGGCCGGTGTCTCGATGCGACCAGGGATGAGAAAGATTCTTGGGAATTGTGCCCGTTCAGTGACAGTATCAGATGCCTAGTTGCTTGGCCTAGCGCTGGTAAAAAGAGGACATCGAGTGGAGATCCGAGCTGTACATGACGGGTTGACTTTCTTAAAGCCGTGCAGGTGGGAGATGGGTTTACACTGGAGTTTTATTTTCATAATTTAACTAACATAAACATACATTAAGGACTTAGTAAATGCGGAATACATGCCATGATAGCCCGGCAAGTTGCACTCTTGGGTCGGCCTCTAGTAATAATTCACCCTGGTGTATTCCCATGTTCTACTGGCAGAATGGTGAAAATAGGTACTCACCTTGGTTGCAAGGAGGTGAAATGGTGTTGGGTCAAAGGAGGGGGGCTACATGCACTAGACACGGAGTAATACTCCGTGGCCCCCGAACAATCTTAGGACCGAGCGCTTGCTGCCCCGCTCAAGATACAGTTAACAACAAACCACTATACTTCATCCAATATTATGGGCTTGGCTGTAGAGTGACTATCAAAAAAGTCTGTCCTTGCTATTTTTCCTAGCCTTACTCATTTTCATCGCTACCAACCCAGAAGAATAATCAGTTATCACTAGATCGAAACTCTTTAAGTGTGGACTATGGTCCTACTTGGTACTGCCTCACATCAAAGGACGGAACCAAGCTTATCATTTTCCCTGAAAGAAGACAAGCCTAATCATGAGATATACTCCATTCGCATCGGATATAGAATTACCATTCTATACTGCTTTGGCAACCCTGAAGATCAACCATGACAAACTTGACGATGCTGCTCGCACAGTAATTGGTCTCTATGAGATTCGTCCTGTAGACCCCCCCCATGCCTCTTGTCGAATGCAAATTCATGGTAACGCCCTCACAAGCACCGAGTGAGTTCAATCTAGAATATTTCGTCACCGTTTATATACAAATGACAAAGTTCTAACCAGCTGCTCATTGGTCAGGACACCAACTGGATATTACCGAGCTGAAGGCACGATCAAGAATGTCAATACAATGGAAGAGTACACCAATATTGATAAAGCTCATATACTTCAACAGTCCGCTAAAATGGTGAGTACCGCGCATACAGCATCATTGGTATAACATTGACAAACGAAAATGTCAGTTATGGGATGCAATATGCGATGGCAGCATCTACGCATGCCCATCTCTACTTTCTTTCTTCATCATATTATCGTACGCGGATCTTAAAAAGTACAAGTTTCACTATTGGTTTGCATTTCCTGCTCTGCATTCGAGTCCTTCGTGGACCCATCTTAAAGAGACTGAGAGCAGCGTCATTTCCGGTCGCTTTGAAATAGGGACCAGACATACTGCCTGTTTATCCGATGCTGAGTTTTCCACGCTCGTGGTGGCAGTTCAGACGTGGAGCTCTGTTGTAGATGACTGCCAGCGAGGGTTTTTTTTGGCCAGGAGGGTCTCTGAAAGTACACTCGAAAACAGATCAGGAATGACCGAGATAGGGACAAAATCGTTGATCTACGATTGCCCATGCTGGAGGATTGCTCCCCTCTCCGCCTATGAAAGTGGGTTCTTTGAGGGGGCAAGCTTTGAAGACCGTTTCGTCTGCTTTGCAGACCCTTCAAACTACGATGATGCACCCGGCTGGATGCTCAGAAATCTTCTCGTGCTTGCCAAAAGACGATGGGGCCTCAACAAGATCAAAGTGTTAAGATACCGTGATGCACAATATAGCCGGGGTCAATATCGAAGTCTGGTGTTGACATTAGAGTGGCAGGATCTCCCAGCACCAAGTACTTTGAGTCCCGAACATCTATATAACGACGTGCCGAAGGTGACTGGATGGGAGCGCGGCCCCGGTGGTAAATTGAGCAGTCGGGTTGTCAATCTCACCGAATACCTTGATCCTAAGAGGCAAGTAGGCACATCATCATTGTATCAATTGTCGAAGGTTTCTTACGATAATCGCTAATACGGTCTTTAGGCTAGCTGACCAGTCGGTTGATCTCAACCTCAAACTCATGAAATGGCGGATTAGTCCCAATCTAGACCTCGAGAAAATTAAGCATACAAGGTGTCTTCTCCTTGGGGCAGGGACACTGGGAAGCTACGTTGCGAGAAATCTAATGGTATAGAAGTCTGGCGTACCCTTAACCAGGTATACATGTCTTACTATTTTACAGGGCTGGGGGGTTTATCGAATCACTTTTGTTGATAATGGCTCTGTATCATTTTCCAATCCCGTGCGGCAGCCACTCTACAAATTCACAGATTGCCTGGACGGAGGGGCCAAGAAGGCATACCGCGCCTCTCAGGCTTTATCAGATATTTATCCCGGTGTGGAATCCACTGGCCATGCTTTGTCTGTACCAATGGTCGGACACCCAGTCATCGATATTGAAAAAGGTAAAGAAGACTTCCAGCTACTTCAGAGACTAATAGATGAGCACGATGTCATATTTCTTCTAATGGACACGCGAGAATCACGCTGGCTGCCAACAGTCATGGGGAAAGCAGCCGGCAAGATAGTCATGAATGCAGCACTTGGATTCGACTCTTTTGTAGTCATGCGACATGGTGTCAAGACAGACGTGGATTCTTTGTCAGAACTTGGCTGCTATTTCTGCAACGATGTGGTTGCGCCAATGAATGTGAGTAATGACTCGGGGGCCGTATAACACTCAACTAATCTTGCGGCAGTCTATCAGGGACCAGACGCTTGATCAACAGTGTACCGTGACTCGTCCTGGGGTGGCTGCAATCGCTTCAGCTCTACTAGTGGAGCTGCTTGTTTCCCTTCTCCAACATCCTCTGGGTGCTGCAGCTCCTGCTCCGATCTCGCGAAATGATGACACAGGAACTCACCCTCTTGGACTTGTGCCACATCAGATCAGAGGATTCCTTTCGACATTCGAAAATGTTCCAGTTGTAGGTAGGAGCTACAAGTGTTGTAGCGCTTGTTCAGACAATGTTATTTATGGCTACAAACGAGGCGGTTGGGATTTTGTCTTAAAAGCTTTAAATGAGCCAGGGTATGTAGAAGAACTGAGCGGTCTGAAGGAGGTCTGTCTATCATCTTTCTATCCCTCATCATGGAAACAAGTTTCGAACGCAGGAAGCTGACGCTTTACAAGGTGCAAGCGACAGCAGAAGCGTCGGTTGCAGACATCCAATGGGACGATGATTCGAATTCAGGGGAGGAGATAAATTAAATCCCATCCCTATTGACAATTGGGCAAGGAGTGCGTGCGGTTGATTGAACCTTCAATGCGGCCAGTAAATGCGACTGAACGGTCTAATTTCGGAGCATAATATGATAATTTGATGTTGACTTTGCAGCCCTCTTATTTCCGACCGAAACCAATAAAATATGATTCTTTAGATTCCTGCTCAATGATCAGTAGTGTTGGTGTTATTTTAGCCTACGCCAAAGCATATTCGCAATACACCACAAGGTTAACAGTTTGCTTACATTGCGTGAGGATTCCGGTTTCAGACGATAGACCTTGTAGAATAGGTCTTTGAGAAGTCCCTCCAAGACCTTATCTTCAGCGCCTTGGTAGAATTTGCAGACGAAATGGCCACCGGTCCGGAGAACTTCTTGACTGAAGCTCAATGCTGCGCGGCAAAGATCCTGGTAATATGGTTCAGCGCAATAGTTTCCCGGCTGATCTGGTTGACATACCATACTACCTGCATGATCTCTGAAACTAATGCCGCTGGTGTTCACCATCCTGTTATAGGGATCACTTAGACTTCTCTTCCCAAATCCAGTGGTTTGATCCCAGGGAGCAGACATATCACTTAGAACCACATCTACTATTGCATTTTCTGAGCTGGCGTTCACAGACTCAAGCATCCTCGAATTGTGTTCGATATTAGACGTTGATTCTGGTGGACGCGGCCGGCCTCTATTGCTGTCACGCACAAATTCACGCACATAAGACTGGACATGAGGGTCCAGAAAATTCCCTTGAATTGTTGATACCCCTTTGGGAGGCTGCGCTGGGATGATGTCGACGCCCAAAACCCGGCCATGGGGTTGCGTTCGAGCTACTGCTACCTAGTAGCATAGAGTCAGTTGGGATATAATATTTACTTAATACTTGACGTACTTGAGACCAGGATCCAGGGGCATATCCCTATAAGGTGTGATTGTACTGTTAACAAATATGGCTATGGGATATCAAAGGTTGCGGCTGTCATACAAGGTCAACAACAGTTTGCCCGCTCTTGAATATGCGATACTTTTCATCTATCTGTTCATGGCATTTCATCAGAATTAACTTGAGAGGAGGAGGTGCTAGCAGTATCAGATACTTGAAGGAGCTTGAAAGCTGCACGACTTTTTAAGCCTTGCACTGCTGCTTCCCTTGTGAAATGGTCCTTGAGCTGGCGAGCTTGCCATCGTTTTGAGGAATATTGTCTTTGGAAAATGAAAAAACGGGATGTGACAGTATTTTGGGCTGAAGAACATTGCATCAGAAACAAAAGTTGTGTCATGGTACTCTGTACTTGTACATAAATCCTGAAAGTATTGTGATGCACCTCTACACAGTAGTACGTGAAGAAAGTTTGGCGACATCACATGCAAGTACAGGTCTCTCCATGTCAGCTTCTTGCCCCACAATTCCAAGCTACCGCCTACTAAATAGAGTCCCCTGCGGGCTTTTGAACCACTGGCTATCTCCCGCACTACCTTAAAACTATTATAATAAACTTCTGAAAAATAGTTTTTTTTTTTCTTAAAATCCTTGGAAATTATAGTATGCTGTTAGGGGCAGAATCTATAAGCTATAGAGAACTGAGCCTGTATATATAAGAAGAAATAACTAATATTTAAAAGAAGATTCTCAGAAATCTGATAATTTTATATATATATATAACTTGGCAAAAGTTAATCTAATAAAATAGACTACTTAAATTAAATAATTTTAAAATATATTTTACAGTATTATTTTTTTTTAAAGTCTGATTAATATTCTTTGTTTATTTATTTATTTTAATCTTATAATTTATTTTATAATAATCTTATTATTAATTTAAGCTTAATATTATCTTTAATTAGATCTAATCTTATCTTCAGCTTATATTAATCTTAATCTTAAATATTAAAATAAAGTCTAGAAATATAAATTAAAATATTTAATTTTTTAAAAAGATTTTTTTTATTTTTTTGCTTGATTAATTTAGGATTATCTTATTTTTAATAATAAGATAAAGCTTGAAAAAGATAGAAATATTTAATTCTTTTTTTTATTTTTATTCTTTTTATTCTCTTTATTCTACTGGCTTGGAAGATAATAATAATAATTATTACTTTCTAAATTAGTAAAGATTTATTAATTATAAGTTTATTAATTCTTAATACTAGTTTTTTCTCTTTCTATCTCTATTTTTTCTATTCTTTTTATTCAGCTGGCTTAAAAAATAGCAAGAATAATTAGGCTTGTCAAAATACCGAGCCCGAGCGGGTTGGGAGAGATCAACAAGCCGGCTTGGCCGAGTCCAGACTCCAGAACTTGTCAGGGCCTGATCAGGCTCGCAGACAAGAACTTAAATAAACTTTTAATTTATTTAATAAATTATTAAATTTTTTACTAATTATTTAAATATATTTAATTTATTTTCTTAAATAATTTTTATAATATATCTATTCTTATTAAAAAGATTAATATAATATAAATTTAAATAAAATTATAAATTTAAAAGATTTTTTAATTCTTCTTTACTTTTTTCTAATTTTTTTTAAATATATTTTATTAAAGATATTAAAATAAGAGAAAATTATATATAGTATATATATATATATATCTTACTTTTTCTAACTTTTAAAATATATATAAAAAAGTCTCTAAAAAAATAGAAAGAAATTAAAAAACTAATATAATTATAAATTATATCTTTATATATTTATAAATTAAAAAAGAATTTAAAAATCTCTTAACTTTATAATTTTATATATACTTTTATTATATTAATTTTTTCAATAAGAATTAAGAATAGATTTAAAGCTAAAAGCAGGTATTTTTTATTTTATTAATAAATTATTTTTAATTAGATAGATGATAGATGATACTAAAGAATCTATTTTTAGACTTGACAGATTAATTAAGCTGAGTCAAGCTAATCTAGAACTTATTTAATAAGTCTATTCACTTGCTTAATCAGATTCTGTTATAGAGTGGCTTAACCTGACTGTTATATCTTAATCTTAATCTGGCTATAATCTAATAATTAGATTAAGATATAAAACATTTTTAATTATATAATTAAGATTAGATTAAGATATAACTATTATTATAACTATTTATATCTACTAATTAAAAAGATTAAATATAATAAATAAATTAATAATTATAGATTAATTTATAATATATATATTTTTTTTATATAAATAATATATAAAATATAATATATATTTAATTATAGTATAAATATAATAATATTTTTTAAATATAATCTATTATTTAATCTACTTAATTAATTATCTTAAAAAATATATTATATTCTAAAAAAGACTTTTTCAAAATCTAGTATAAAAAAAATAAAAAAATATATAAAATATTTATTTTTTATATTATTTAGAATAATAATTATAATAATATAAAAATTATAAAGATTAGATCTTTATCTTTATTTAAATATATATAATAATTAAAGACTTAAATAAGACTAATTTTTTTAATTTTAATAATAATCTATTCTCTGAATTTTTTTTAAGATTATTTATATTTTTATTCTTATTAATATAAAAAGTAGTAATTATTTTATTTTTTTTTATTTTTTAAGTATAAAGATAATTAAATCTAGATTAAGATTATTAAATATATTCTAATATTTTTTATTTATAATAAAATAATTAATATATATTTAAAATATAACTATTTTAATTATATTAAAATAAAGACAGCTCTAATAATAATAATAAATATTTTAAAAATTATTAAAAAAATATTTAATATTAATATTATTTATTATAATTAAAAGAAAATCTTTATTTATTTAATAAAAAATAAAAAACTAATTACAGCAGGACTTTTAGTAAATAAGAATATTAATATATTTTATAATATTTAAAATTATATTAATTTAATTAAAAATATTTTAAGAAGCTATATATTTTTAATATCTAGATATATCTTAAATTTTTTATATATCTTAATTATAGATAAGAATTTCTAATATTATAAAATATTATAAAAAATCTTATTTAGATCTGATAATAATTTAAAAATTATTAATAATATATTAATTACTAGATTTTAATTAAAATAAAAAGAGAATATTTTTTTAAAAATAATTTAATATTTATAATATTAGTTAATATTATTATTTAGTTATATATTTTTTTAAACTTCTTAAGCTTTGATATTAGATTTAAAATAATTATAATTATATAAATATAGTCTTTTATCTGATAAATATAATAATAATATTTTTAACATTTTTAATATATATTATATAAGCTTTTAAAAATCTTTTTTTTTAAAATATCTATTTTTTTAATCTATTAATTAAATAATTCAGATAATTAAAAAAATTATTATAAATATTATAAATCTTATAAACAGTAGATTTATTATTCTTAGAAAAATAGAAAATAAAAAAAAGATATAAAAATTTAAGAAGATATTTTATCTATTTTTATTTAATTATAATAAAATAAAGATAATTAATATTATTATATTTATAATATTAAATAAAATTTTTAATTACTTAATAAAAATTAAATATTTAATAAATTATAAAACAAATTAAGTTCTAGTAAGTTTTATAGTTAAAAAGAAGATAATAAATTAAATTAGATTTAAATTATTAAATAAATAAGAATTTCTTATAATATTAAAAACTTATATTTATAAATTATATAATTTTTTAAATTTATAATTAAGAATTAATATAATAAACTAGCTGATAAAAGATTTTTAGAAGATTTTATAAAAAAAGATTTTATATTAATTTTTATAGATAATTTCTAGAATATATCTTAAGAATTCTTAAAATATTAGAAAATACTTTAAGATTTTTATTATTATTTTTTTATATATATTTAATAATATTATTTAAGATCTTAATCTAAAGTTTTTATAAAAAAATATTAATTATAAACTAAATTATATAAATAAGACAGAGAATATAATACTGGCTTTAAATAATTTTTAAAAAATTAAAATTAATTAGAATATTATAAAATTAAATATTTTAACTAAATTATGTTCAGAGTTCAGCTAAGATTATACTAAATATTATATTATTATTATTAATATTATTAGTTATTATATTTAATAATTAATAGATAAGATTATATTTATATAAGACTGATAGAATAATTATATTTATAGCTATATTTTTATTAATTTAAAATTTAGATATTAATCAGAAGTCTAGCAAAATTTTATAATAATTTATATCTTTTATTAAGAAATATTTTTTAATTAGGGCTGATTCAGCAGTCTATTATAATTAATATTTATTTAATATTTAGCAATTTTAATAGCAGCTGTATATATATCTTTTTAAATAGTTTTATAAAATATTTTTTAATCTATATTTAATTAGAAGAACTTAATTTTTAATAAAAAAATAAAATAGTAAGATTAATTATCTATTTAAATTAAATATATTTAATAATTTAGAATAATAGATAACAGATAATTATAAAATATAGAACTTAATTTTAAAAATTTTATTTATTATAAATTATAAAAATCTAGAGAAAAATAATAATTAAAAAAGATTTATTTTAAAAAAATAAAAAAAGATTTATAATAATTTTTATTTAATATCTAACTAATTATTTACTTAGATATAATTAATAATAATTTCTTCTTATAATTTTTATAAAAATAATAACTTATAGAACTAGTTTCTGAGTTTTTAATTCTTAGATATTATAAAATATAAAAAATATAATATAATAAATATAAAAGATTTTATTAAAAAATAATATATCTTTTTAAAAATTATCTTATATTATTAATAATCTTTTCTGATTAAAATAAAATAAAAGTTTTTTAATTTATATATAATCTTTAAAAAAGATTATCTTTTATTATTAATTCTAAAAAATAGAGAGCTTTTCTTAAAGAGCTAAATATAAAATAATTTTTTAATTTTTTATAATATATATAATCTTAAGATTTAGAAAAAAAAATCTGACTTAAGAAGCTTATCTTAGTTTAAATATTATTATAATTTATAAAAATCTAAAAAATAGAAAAAAAAGATTTAATAATATTTTTTAAAAATAGATTAGATAATTATAATGAACTTATAATTCTAAACCTTTTTTATAAATAATAAATATAAAAAAATAAAAGCAGAAAAATCTATAAAAATAATTTATTTTATTTTAAGATATATAACTTTATATAAATATAATTTATTATATTTTAAGATATATAACTTTATATAAATATAATTTATTATATTTTAATATATAGCTGAGATATCTGCTGTATTTTATTTATTTTAATAAATTTAATAAATAGAAATTTATATCTAAAGTCTAAAATTATAAAATAATCTTTTTTTTAAATAAAACTACTTAAGATATAATAGACT